GTAGATATGAAAAATATTACCATTGAAAGCTACCTGATGATATCCATGCTCAGATGCCAAGTAGCTCAGAAAGTAGCCGACTGTGACTAGTAATAATCAGATATATAGAGATTAGAAATGCATATGCATCTTAATGTCAATTGTATTAAAAATGAATGTTTCTGTATGAAACTGTGTATTTTAATAATGAAATGGAGATCTTTTTCAAAGTTTAAAACCTCATTTAATTTTATGTCTTATAGGGATAATATAGAGTACAATTTTGTATAACTGTATTAATTCAACTGTGAACCTAAAAATTTACAAACAATTTTGAAAGAGAAGCATCTTAGCTCTGGAAATTGTTATTGAATGTATCAATGCTGTTGTAATGAAATGCCTCTTCTAATTATATGGTTATTAAATAAATAATTTTTTTAAAAAGTTGGAGCCCTGGAACTCCAAAGAAAGCCTAGAAATGCAGAAGTAGTGGGCCAGGAGTAACTGTCAAGTTCCTCTCTCACTGGAGGAGTAGGTGAACATTTAAATGCTGGTGTAGCCCTGCCAGGAGGCACTTCCACCACAAATCAGAGCAGAAATCAAACGTGGGCCACCTTTTCCCCAACCAACTCCAGCTTGCCTACCTCCTGTCCTGTCCCCACCCTGCCCAATCTCATGTTTATAAAGGGAAGTCTTTATCTGTTTTCCAACTCCTTCCCTAGAAGCTTGGTTTATCTTCACTCCTGGATGCTCTGGTCTCTCCCTGGTTTCCTTGATAGGACCCTTCCCTGACTTTCATGACATGACTTTCATTCTGATGCACTAGATTCTGTGGTTAATATTTCTTCCTAGTTTCATTTCTTCTTACAGCATGTGCTGCAATAGCACAAAGACTTTCCTAGGTCAGACATCAGTGGTCATGTCTTCTTACAGATACTATTGTCCGCTAGCAACATGAATGGTATTCACTTATCTTATTTCACTTCAGTCTCAACAGAATTGTCAATAGAAGAGGTAACTGAAAACCACCCAGTGGTTATTTCCATGCTAGAGGAAACTCTAAAACAGGCAAAGGATATGAACTTTGAGCAGCCTTATGAAAAACATGCTGAAATACTAGAGGAAATCCTCAAAGAGGTAAAAAATAAATTCCAACCTACTAATTTTTATCATTGAATTGTATACAAAAAAGTGTTATCTGGTGTGTATCTTAGTAAAATGTGTACCTTTCAAATTCATGTACCTTTTGTTTTAAATTATTTATTTTTAACATTTCATACATATATACAATGAAATGTGATCATAACTACCCCTCATTTCCCCGAGGTGGCCAGAGCAAAAAGCCAAGCAATCACATCTTCAAGAAGGCAGAGGACACAGAGATAGATTGAAAATCTGACAAGATTTAAGAACTCTCAAAGCCCATCCCCAGTGACACACTTCCTCCAGCAAAGTCACACCTCTTAAAACCTTCCAAATTAGTGCCACCAACTGGGGACAAAATGTCCAAATATTTGAGGGATAGTCTCATTTAAAGTACCACATTCCAATCCCTGGCCCCCATACACTCATGACAATGTAAAATGCAAAATACATTTAGTCCAACCTTAAATATCTGCATAGTTTTTGCCAGTCTCAATGTTATTCCAATGTCCTGCAAAATCAAAAGACAAATTACATACTTCCAACATACTATGTTGGAGCAGAATACACATTCCCATCCCAAAAGGGAAGAATGGGGCATAGTGAGGAAATACTGGACCAAAATAAGATAAAAAACCAACAGGGCAAACACCAAATCTAGTAGCTCCAGGTCTGACTTCTGGGACTTTACTCTGAAAGGATTTAGATGGTTCAGCCCCTACAGCTTTGCTTTATGCAATATACATCTCTCTTGGGCTGGTACAACTCCCTGTATACAACTCTCCTTGGCAGATAGCTCATGTCTCCAGCATCTCCAAGGTCTTCTTGGGGTCTCTACTGCCAACTGGGCTTCACGTTCACAACTTCACACAGTGGCCTGTCAGGGCCTCCTTTATGCAGAGATGCCCTTACTGTACAGGGCAGAGAGCTGCCTGGCCTCAGTGGCTCTCTGAGTCCATAGAGGAAGAACTGATAACCCCTTAACTCTTCCATCTTTCATGCCTCTAAAGCCAGCATGTGAACGACTCTACCAAGCTCAGCTGCCAACCTGGGATGGACCCTGGCCTGCTTCATCCACATTACCAGCAGCTTTTGGCTATAGTAGCTTTCTAGGAGCAGGAACCTCCTTAGGCTTTTTCCTTTCACATGTTGGAGGTTTAGCTGGGTGTGATCTTGTCCTGAGGGTACTCTTTCCATTGTTTAAGTGCAAATCTCTAGGCCTCTCCTTCATCACTCTGGTCTCCTTCATCACTCTAATCTCCTTATCAAAGGGATCTTCTTCTTCAACACAGGCCTTGACTCCAACATTAATCTTCCTGGTGCTCTTTTTTAATTCAAACTGTACATTCTGCATTTATTTCTACCCCATTTTCTTTCTTCATTGTAGATTTCCATAATATTCACCACTAATAGCCATATCACTGATTCAATGTTAGACTGTCTTGAAATTGCTTCTGCCAAAGAAATTAGTCCATTACCTTTCAACTTAGCCTCAGACATTCTCTAGGCTGAGGGCAGACTGTAGCCAGATGCTTTGCCAGAATATCCCTGTTGCTACTTAAGTCCTTATTTCCCTCAGGGACTTCTTTGCTCTCAGCACTACTTTCCTCCAGGCCCCTACTAGAATGACCCATTAAGCTTTGCTTACAGCATTCAACTGCTTTTCTAATACGAACATCCATAGTCTTTCAAATTCCTCCTAAAACTCAGTCAGGCTCTTCACAACAGCCCACTCTCTGGTACCAACTTCTGTACTAGTTACTTTTCTGTTGTTGTAATAAGACACCATGACCAAGGAAGTTTATAAAAGAAAGAGTTTATTTAGCTTTTAGTTCTTGAGGGTTAGAGTCCATCATGGTGGGGAGGTGTGGCAGAAGAGGTAGCCAGAGCAGAAAGATGAGCAATCATATCTTCAAGCAAGCACAGGAAGCAGAGAATGACTGGAACTCTGGCAAGACTTAAGAACTCTCAAAGCTTTCCCTCAGTGACATGCTTCCTCCAGCATGGCCACACCTCCTAAAACTTCTTCAAACAATGCCCCAACTGGGGACAAAATCTCCAAATGCTTGGAGCCTATGGGGGACATTTTCATTCAAATTACCACACCCACTAAGAGATGTTAGTGCTGCCCATATGTGTGTGGGTGTGGGGCCGTCAGCAGGGCACAGACCTGCATTCATCTGTATTCAATGCTATGGAATAATAAATAGCAAAAGCACATTGTTATATTAGTAAAGGCTCTTGTTTTCTGTTTTTTAACTATTAAAACTATTTTATTACTTTAAAATTAAGTTGTTCTTTTTTTCCTCACAAAGTCAGAACTCAAAAGACACTTGAATTCTATAAAACTGACATTTCATGATCAGATTATTGACTTGTCAACTAACGATGTTTGTATCTATGTGCAATTTTTCACAGGCAATGGAAGGTAACCAAAATAGGTTTCCTGGTGCCCCCAAATATGGAGGATGGATTGTGGACAATTGTCCTGTTGAAAAAGAGCTGTGGATGGCCTTTCTTGATAAAGGAATTATACCTGATTTGGTGATCATCTTATCAGACACAGACAACAATGGTTGGTACATGTTTGTTTTGCAAATTTAAAAGAAAATTTTTATTGCTGATATTTATTTTTGGTTAAAATAGAGAATAAACTCTCCTTAGTGTCCTTAGATACAAATACCATCCCCAACTACCACCTCTAGCAATGCTTGCAGGACCTAGTGATAACACAAGGTAAGGATTCCGTCCTCTGAAAAGATGGCTTGGGATAATGTGCTGTGTCACTACACCTTCCAGCAGGCCTTTGTAATTGTTCTTGGGACCTGAAAATGTAGCATCCCCTCTCAGTCAACAGTTAAAACTTGTAAATGAACATTGTATATGACTAAGGGGAATTAGGTACGTAAAGATGCTAAATTATTCTATTAGTTTACCTCTTAAGAAAATATATCTGGGAACCAGTGAGATGGCTCAGTAGGTAAAGGTGCATGCTGCCAGACCTGATGACCTGAGTATAATACTTGATTCACATGGAAAGAACCAATTCCTGCAGGTTATCCTCTGACCTCCACACATATACACACAAATGGATACATGTGCAAAACAATTCTTAAAATATTTGAAATTAGAGTTTCTGAGGGAAAAATAAATATATATTTTCATGTTTTCATTTTTATTATTTATTCCATATTAAATAATGTAAATAATACGCCTTTCAAAGAAGACTTAAGACAATTTTCTACAATTTTAGAGACTGAGACTCTAGATAAATGCTTAAAGGAAAGTATGCAAATACGAATAATTTTTGTTGTTACTTTCCAAAATAGGCCACACTTTTAATAAATAATATTTTCTCTTTATTTGGATTTCAGGAAAATCCTTATTAAATAGAACATATTTAAAGAATAAGCAAGAAATTGATGCCAAGATTTTAGAAAGATTGTTAGATGAACTTCAAACCAAAAAAAAGGAGGAAGAAGCAGAACGGTAAGCTCTGCCGAGGGTGACAAACAAATCAATGCATCTTTATACCTATACCTTTAAAAGATTTTATTTTTATAACCCCAGCACTTGGGAGGCAGAGGCAGGAGATCTCTGTGAGTTAGAGGCCAGCCTGGTCTACATAGCGAGTTCCAGGCCTGCTAGGGCTACAGGGAGACCCTGTCTCAAAAAGACCAAAAGAAAAAAAAAGATTTTATTTTTATTTATATGCATGTGTGTGTGCATGCATACATGTACATGGGTACCCTCAGAAATCAGAAAAGGACACTGGAGCCCCTGGAACTAGAGTTATAGGCAGTTGTGAGCCACCCGATGTGAGTGCTGGGAACTGAATTCAGGTCCTTGGCAAGAGCAGTGAGCACTCTGAACCACTGAGCTGTCTCTCCAGCCCCAGCATGTACCTATACTTTCTGTACCTTCTCACAAGTTATGCTTGTGAAATTTCTCTAATATCAACAAGATAGTCTGTTAACTAGGCCAAGTTCTACCAAATTCCAAAAGAAACAGTGAGTTCATGAATACTTTAGACTCTACTCAGTTGTCAATAATTTCACAGCTCATATCAAATGTATTCTTAGTCAGTCATTGGATACACTTAGCATATATTTCATATATATATGTGCACACCGTATCTATCTTTCATTTGATTTTACCAACTAGAAACCACACACTGAAACAATAACATGATAGGACATAATTGAAAATTCACTGCTTAGAAACTACAAGGTAAACCTGCCTAGGTTCCATGTCAAGAAAGAACTGGTTATTTACATTTGACAGGTTTAACATGGAGGGTTTGTTCTCTACTCTTGGTGTAATGAAGAAATTTAAAATTGTGAACACACATTCATGTCTAGGGTCAAGATTCAGCTTTAACAATTAAGTTCTTCAGATTAAGGAACAAAATAGAAAAGGGAACAGTGACCTACTTTGCTAGTTGTTCTTCCTTGCTGAAACATACTCTTCAAAACTTTAAATGTTCGTTTGTCCATTTTGGGAGTCTGGAAGCAATGAAGAGGCCTAGGTAGTTAAACACCAGACTTCTTAATGTAAACCCATCAAGAAAACCTCTTAGTATTTATTAACCTTTTTTGTCTTTTTGAGACATGGTCTTCCAGCTTACCTGGAACTCACTATGTAGAACAGGCTGGCCTTGATCTCACAGAAATATACCTGCCTCTGTCTTCTGAGTACTGGGATTAAAGGTATGGGCCACCAAGCCCAGCCTCTTACTATTCATTGATGGTGCACATATTGCTTTCTCAAATCCTTTTCCTCCTTCAGATGTTAGCAGTTTGAACTGAGATTTAGGGGAGCTCATTAAGCTCTACAATTTATGTGTTTGGGAAGTGAGTGTAAAGGGGTTAACCCGTATGTGTACGTCAGAGGACATGTTTTTCAGTGACTGTTAGAGGCAAGTTCTCACTCTGTAGCCAGCCTGGCCTGGATCTCACTACATAGCCCAAGCTAGCCTTGAACTCTTGGTAAACCTCCTGCCTTAACCTTCCAAACGCTGGTTTTATAAGCATAAACCACCATGCCTAGGTTTCCAGTGTTTACAAAGAACATGACACAAAACTTAATACAATTCAGTTGAATTTGGTGAGTAAAATTATTGTTTTAATCTGCCGGGTGTGGTGGTGGACGCCTTTAATCCCAACACTTGGGAGGCAGAGGCAGGTGGATCTCTGTGAGTTTGAGGTCAGCCTGGTCTACCTAGTGAGTTCCAGGACAGCTGGGGCTACAGGGAAACCCTGTCTCAAAAAGACAAAAAAAAAATTATTGTTTTATATATTGACTAATATTTATTGCTAATTCAGAAAATAGTTACAAGTTTATTGCATTTTTTTAGATTTACAAAATTTTTGTTATAGATGGAGTAATAATCTGCTAAATTTAAGGAACTACTTATTTTTTTCCAGTGTATGCAAAATAGTCAAATATTTGAGTACAAATAGAATCATTTTTCCATTTTTTATTCTTTAATAGCTTTATACATATATAAAATGAATTTTAGTCACTTTTATCCCACTCTTCTCTCTCATCCCTCTCCTCCTGCTGAAACTCTTTTTGTTCCCAGCAAGTCTCCCTTTTACATGTCTTCTTTTTGTGTGAGGCCCACTGAGTTTAGTTAGAGGTTCTTGCCTGAGCATGGGTGGAAGGTTATTTACCTCTTTCTGAAGCATGGGCAATTTACCAATGACTATGTCACTGAAGAAAATGACACACACCCCTCTCCCATTAATGACCAGTAGTCTTCAGGAGGGGTGAGGCCACATGGGCTCCTCCTCCATCCATGTTGATAGACCCATTCCTGTGTAGTTCTTGTGCAGATCACCAGAGCTGCAATGAGTTCATGAGTGCAGCAGTTATGGGATGTTCAGAAGACTCCATTTGGCTGCACATCTCCCCATCTTTTGGCTTTTACATTATTTCTGCCCCCTCCATGATGCTCTCTGAGTCTTGGAGACTGTGATATGGATGTTCCATTAGAACCCTGCATTCCACCATCACTTATTCTCAGCACTTTGGCCAGTTCGGAGTTTTTACTTTAACTGCTGTACCGTAAAATAAGAAGCTTCTCTGGGACAGGAGAGATGGCTCAGTAGTAAAGAGCACTTGTTCTTGCGGAGAACCCGAGTTCAGTTTCCAGCACCCACATCAGGTAGCTTACAACTGCCTTTAATTCCAGCTGCAGGGGAACAGATACCTCCTCTGGCCTTTGTGGGACACACACACACACACACACACACACACACACACACACAAATAGAATAAGCTTGTCTGATGAAGGCTGAGTGCACACATTTATCTATGAATGCAAACATGAGACAGAACTTTGAGAACATGACCATTTAGCCAAGCAGCACTAGTACTGGTAGTTTCCCTGATATGGTCTATGACCTCCGCAGTTACAGACTCTTGACCAGGTTTACCAAACAAGGTATGAGTTCTCTCCTGTGGAGCAGGCCTCAAATCCAATCAGAAACAAGTTGGTTACCCCCATAACAGGCATGCCACCATTGCACCAAAGGGCACATCTTACCTAGCAGATCATATATAACTTACAGGATTCATAGCTGGGTAAAACTATTGACTTGTTGTCCCTCAGCAGTCTGCATAGTACCTTCCAGCTCAGTTCCAGTTTGATTTCTCTATGACCTGTAACCAAAGTATGTGGTGTCTTTAGCAATGGAGTCTTACCATCTAATTATGGTGGGCTACAAAGAGCAAAGGCAGTGTATTGTCTGTAATGGTTTTGGGGGTGCTGTGGGACCTCCCTGACCAACAACTCATGGAGATATATCCCACACCTGGCAGTGGAAATTTTTAGAGCTTCTGAAAAGAGTATTACCCACCCACAGAAATCTTAATGTAAGAGTAAAGTAAAGCTCATGTTGTTTATTGGCTAAAGGTCTACTAATTTTAAACAGATAAAAAATATGTGCATATGTAATTTTAAGAACAGTTATATCCTCTGGTTCCTCCCAAATATACCTTCTCACTCTTTTACTATGTGGAGTTTCCTGTTTCTACAATCAATTTTTACTTATTTGATTCTAAGTTTTCACATTTTCATAAGCTTTTTAATGTCAAACACTTGACACAGGCTTCTCACAGTTTCTTTATGCTGATTTTTAAATTTCAACAATGAGTATATCATAGAAAACTTTTTTCATATACTGTAGAAAGAGAAAGCTAAAATAGAAAAAAAAATCCCTCACTGACTTAGTCAAGTCTTACAAGTTGGTCTGAAAAGAGACTAAGGACTAATAATTGCATCATAGGTCAAGCACCTGGAAACAGGCTAAATTATTTTTTCTGGCATTGGCCTGCACATGTTAGGCAAGGTCATTTCTGGCATTATTGTGTATCTTTGGAACATATTTCCAAATGTTTATAGTCACTTTTAATGAGTGGTAGCTATACTCTTCCTCAGTCTGCTCAGGTCTTCAAGTCCTCCCAACAGGATATTTTATTCAGGTTTTAGAGAGAAAATTCTCACTAGCAGCCTTTTCTGGACCAAGTGGAATGAATGGCTGCCACCCACAGTCAAAACGAATAGGAAGGCGCCTCATCAACAAGACTCAGTGTCTCCCTGGTCTGAGTCATGACCAACGAGAAGCCCACTGACACTAAGACTCCTGGCTGGGGCTACTGGGAAACCCTGTCTGAAAAAGGCAAAAAAAATAGCTTTGGGGTCTGGAGAGATGACTCAGTAGTTAAGAAGAGCACTTGCTGCTCTTTCAGAAGTCTTAAGTGTGGTTCCCAGCACCAACATAGAAGCTCACAACCTTTTTATAATTCCAGTTCCAGGGGATCTGGTGCCCTTATTTGGCCTCACTGAGCTCGAGGTATGCATTTAGTGAACATGTTGGGCTGATGAGATGACTCATTGGGTAAAGATACTTTGCAGTGAAGTCTAATAACCTGAGTTTGAGCCCTAGGACCCACATGGTAGAGGATTACTGCAAGTTGTCCTCTGACCTCCACACACATGCCCCTACACATATATGTGCACACGCACACACACACACACACACACACACAAATAAACAATGTAAAAATAAGAGGTTTTTCTAGTTAAAAAGAAATGTATGCTGTCTATTCCACATAAAATTTTTTCCAGTTTATTTATTTTAATTTTATGTGTATGAGTGTTTTGCCTGCATATATATAAGTATACCTGTGTTGTGCAGTGTCCACAGAGGGCATTGGATTCCTGAAATTGGAGTTACAGATGGTTGTTAGCTACCAACCATATGGGTACTGGGCATCTAACCCATAAGAGTAACCAGTGAGCCATCTCTTGAGTCCCTTGACACAGAAAAATTTTAATACAAATCAGTATTAAAGAAAATTTGATGTTGGATGTGGTAGTACATGCTTTAATCCCAGCACTCAGAAGGCAGAGGCAGGCAGATCTCTGTGAGTTTAAGACCAGCCTGGTCTACATAGCCAATTCCAGTCAGGACTGCATAGCAAAATCAAAGATTTTAAAGAAAGAGAGAAAGAGAGAAAGAAAAAGAAAGAAAGGAGAGAAAGTTCATAATGCCACCACCCCAAAATAATTATTTTTAATAGTTTGAGTGTTTATAGCTTTCTAATCTTCATATATATATATAATTAAAATTATATTATACATGTAGTTTTATCTGCTACTTTTCTCACTTAACATGTTGTGGAAGTTGTCTGAGGAAAAAGGACACATCCATTTAATTTTTCAAATACAACATTCCATATTTTCTTACCAAAAATACCACACAATAACTGAAACTAAGTGTCATGAGTGAATTGACATTGTACACTGTAAAAGTAAGAAGCATAATGAATATTATAAGCAGTATTTTACCATTATGAGCATTTCATCCCATAATAATGTGAGATGTCTGAATCTCCAAAAATAATTAAAGTTTGGACATTTTCATTTCAGAAAAGTCAAAGTAGAGGAATTGAGAAGAGAAGAGGAAAAACAAAGGATAGCGGAAGATGTGGCTAAGAAAACAAAAGGCAAGCACAGATTCCTAAAGCTAGCAGTGCGCCGTTTAATCTAGTAGTGCTCCATTTAATCTAGTAGTGCTCCATTTAATCTAGTAGTGTGCCATTTAATCTAATAGTGTGCTGTTTAATCTTGCAGTGCGCCGTTTAATCTAGTAGTGCTCCATTTAATCTAGTAGTGTGCCATTTAATCTAGTAGTGTGCCATTCAATCTTGCCTCGTTGCTGCAATTTTCAAACAAATTATAAATGCATTTTTCTTTCCTGGTGATCATATTTCCCAGTTTGAGAAGAGTCCAGGTTTGTCTATGTACCTGAAACATTTATAATGCCCCCTTTTGTTCTCAAGATGTTCCAATTAGCAATAACTTATATCGACACTAGGATCATGGATTCATAGGAAAAAGATTCTAAGGCTAAAAAAAGATTCTTGACACAAAACCTACCCGTGCACCCTCTAAGAGGGATACGGTGCAGAACAGCATGTGATCACACGTGGCTGTTAGAATTACTTGTATTGGAAGATTCCTACAGGAGCTGAGGAAGCAGCCAAACTCCTGCTGTCTTCATACTTACACTTCTATCTCTCTTATGAAACAGCTTTCTTTTTTAAGATTGAGGTTCTCAAACCGGAATCTCTGAATTCAATTCATGGTCTCTGGAGTTCAACTGTATTTTCACTAACCTTTAACTGAAATTTAGTGTTTCTTTTAACTATTAATACAGATCACAAACCACAATAATATTCAGTACCTTGACTTTGTCAATACAAATGAAGACATTTTTATGTTTCATAATGGTTTTATATATCTCATTTGTGTTTATTGCTGTTCCAAAACTATAGTAGTTACTAAAACAGCTGTTAGTTCTGCTTTAATACATTCATTAAAGATGTATACATTTCCTACAACTCCAACTTATTTTCATATTTTAACAACTGTATTTCAATATAATTGGTATCATATGTATTTTACTTTATGACTTGAAAGCAATACTCTGAGAAGAGGTCCACACATTGCAGCAGACTACCAAAGAGACCATAGGTATCAAGAGTTCCCACCGCTATGCCACATGCCGCCCCAAAGCTTAGTGCCGTAGAACAACTGCACACTCTGTTCTGTGGGTCCAGGCTGCGGGCGACACACACTGGGAACAGCTGAGCACCTGGGTTCTGTTTTGAATGATCCACCATAGAAGTGGTCCTGTGCTGCCAATTAAGGGTTCGACTACTTCAACATCTTTACCAACTCATGAGACAGAACCCCTCAGCTGAGCTACTGCCAAATTCTTCATTCACAGGCACGACAAGGATAATGTAATGGTCTGGGGTAACTTATGATGAATCAACAGGTAACTAATATAACACATAATCAATAGTCAAATTTCAAACAGTTCAAAGATCCTAAAATACCACTTAATGAATTCTTGAGCTATATGATGCACAGATTATCCACTGTGATTTTAGCATAGAAAAAAGGATTTGGCCTTATAATAATTTTCTATAACATGACATATTTTTTCTCAATGTATATTTTTATTGAATTTTTGTGTATCTTAATCATATGTAGGCTCCCTCCCCTATTTGCACCCTCCTATAGTCCCCCCACCAGATTTCATGCATTCTGTCACATATGATAAGGTCTATTGAGTCGTTTGTGTGCCCAGATGTCCATCGGTGTGAGTCCATCCACTGGAGTCTCGTTAGCCCATCTAGCATCACTTCTAAAGATCAACTCTCCCTGACCCAGCAGTAATCAGCTGCCAATAATTCTTCAGCTAAAATTGGGGCTTCCTTCCCATTTCCCCAGTTCTATGCTGTGTTTTTGTCTGATCAAGTTTGCATAGGTCTTATGCATGCTATCATCACTGCTCTAAGTTCATAGAAGCAAAGTCCCAGAAGCCTATAAGACTCCATTTCCTTATGATCATGCATCATCCCTGACTCTTACAATCTTTCCTCCCCCTCTTCCATAATGGTCCCTGAGTCATGGGTGGGCGAGGTTTAATGTAGGAGTCCTGTCCAGGGGCACACACTCTGCAGTCTTTCATTCTCTACACTTTGACCAGTTTCGGCCTTCTGTGTGCATCACATTCTGTTGCATGAGGAAGTTTCACTGGTAAAAGTTGAGAGTTGTATTAGTAGTCTTTCTACCCTCCCCTCCTCCATTCCACTATGTTCTGTGAGCCTTAGGTATAGAGGGTCCACTGTAGATGTGTCACTTAGGGCTGGGCATCTCGCAGACACTATTCTCTGTGTGACCAGTTGTGGAACTCTGTAATAGTCTCCATCTGTTACATAAAGAAACTTTTTTGATGAGTGGTGAATGACATACTTGTCTGTAAATATAAGAATCCATATTTAGCACACAGAAAGAAACTACATTTGTCTAGGGATGTGACCAAGGTAGGGTTTTCTCTAGGATCTATGACCTCTCTGGCCGTGTGTATTTGCTATGTTTACAGTGCCACACATGAGTTCCCTCCCATTGAGAAGGCTTTAAGTCCAATTAAATACCTGTTGATTACCCCCAAGATAAACATGCTAGTACTGCACCACTATAGATTATTGTGCCATTCATTGTTGTGGTTATTAAGCTTTAAAGCTGGGGTTAGACCATTGACTTCCAAGTGTATCATGGTCACCAACAGCCACATAAAGCTTAGAGTTATAGTTTCTAAATTTACAGTCAACACATAGATTAGCATGCTATGCTGTTTATTACTTCTCTTAGCTATAATAAACCTAGTGTTACATATATTGTATCTACATATCTATACAGAGAGTCTAGTCTGGTGCTGCCAAATAGAAACATAATGTAAGCCACATAGATAACTAAATTTCCTGGTCGCTCCATATTTTACATTCAGTTTTTCATACTGCGCTATATACTTTATATTTACACATATCTCAATTTGGACTAGCTTCAAGTGCTTATAACAACATGTGGCTAGTGACTGTCATGTTGGATGGTATGGATCTAGCCATTTCCTTATTGAATGGATACTTTTCTAGTCTTTCCCTGTTAGAGTATTTGGGACTGCTAAAAACATTTCTTCTTTTGAATGAACCCTTCCCTCCAGCTTTCCCATAGTACTCTGAGAGGCAGACTGTCATTCTTCACCACTCCATATTAATAGATATAATACAGTGGTAGTTCGTCTGTCTCCACCATTAAAGCACATTCTGGGGGCAGGGCAGGGACCATTCCTTATACTTTATTTTCTCCTCCACACATAATAGCACCCAATAGGTATCTGTTGACTTAAGCTGAATAACAATATATTTCTTCTCATTCTTTCTAGAAACTGAAGAGGCTGATAATGAAGCTGACGAGGAAGCTGATGGTGAGGACTCTGAGCCCCATGAACAGTCTGAGGTACCTGAAATGCCTGAGTATACCAGAGGCTCGCTGTTACCTGAGGGGTCTGAAGCATCTGAGCTCCTGGAAGCAGAACATGAACCTGAAGGAGGTTAGACTTTACTGAGGGCTACCTCCTTCTTTCTGCTAGCATCCACTTGTGTGTGTGTGTGTGTGTGTGTGTGTGTGACCCCCAAGATAAACATGCTAGTACTGCACCACTATAGATTATTGTGCCATTCATTGTTGTGGTTATTAAGCTTTAAAGCTGGGGTTAGACCATTGACTTCCAAGTGTATCATGGTCACCAACAGCCACATAAAGCTTAGAGTTATAGTTTCTAAATTTACAGTCAACACATAGATTAGCATGCTATGCTGTTTATTACTTCTCTTAGCTATAATAAACCTAGTGTTACATATATTGTATCTACATATCTATACAGAGAGTCTAGTCTGGTGCTGCCAAATAGAAACATAATGTAAGCCACATAGATAACTAAATTTCCTGGTCGCTCCATATTTTACATTCAGTTTTTCATACTGCGCTATATACTTTATATTTACACATATCTCAATTTGGACTAGCTTCAAGTGCTTATAACAACATGTGGCTAGTGACTGTCATGTTGGATGGTATGGATCTAGCCATTTCCTTATTGAATGGATACTTTTCTAGTCTTTCCCTGTTAGAGTATTTGGGACTGCTAAAAACATTTCTTCTTTTGAATGAACCCTTCCCTCCAGCTTTCCCATAGTACTCTGAGAGGCAGACTGTCATTCTTCACCACTCCATATTAATAGATATAATACAGTGGTAGTTCGTCTGTCTCCACCATTAAAGCACATTCTGGGGGCAGGGCAGGGACCATTCCTTATACTTTATTTTCTCCTCCACACATAATAGCACCCAATAGGTATCTGTTGACTTAAGCTGAATAACAATATATTTCTTCTCATTCTTTCTAGAAACTGAAGAGGCTGATAATGAAGCTGACGAGGAAGCTGATGGTGAGGACTCTGAGCCCCATGAACAGTCTGAGGTACCTGAAATGCCTGAGTATACCAGAGGCTCGCTGTTACCTGAGGGGTCTGAAGCGTCTGAGCTCCTGGAAGCAGAACATGAACCTGAAGGAGGTTAGACTTTACTGAGGGCTACCTCCTTCTTTCTGCTAGCATCCACTTGTGTGTGTGTGTGTGTGTGTGTGTGTGTGTTGTGTGTGTGTGTGTGTGCTGTCTGTGTGTCTGTGTATCTGTGTGTGTCTGTGTCTGTGCCTGTGTGTAATGGAAGCTGGCTAAGGCTGGAAAGATGACATTCCATAGTGTGTCCAGATCACATAGTATACAGTACGGTGGAAAAGCTGAGCCTCCCTCAGCTCTGGGACGGGCACAAGGACTAGGGACATAATTTGTAGGACATTTTACCCAAAAAGCCAGAAGGTACCATTAAAATACTAAACTACAAAGCTTTTCCCTTTCTTCCAGTCTCCTCCCCTCCCTCTCCTCCTCCTCATCCCTATCCTTTTCTTTCTTTCCTTGCTATCATGTTTTATTTACTATTTAATGTCATTCTAAGTAAAGAAAGGATTTAATTTAAATTATTAGCATGTTATAATTTATCTTTATGTCATGGATTGCTATTTTAAATGCAAATATAAGAGCATTTAAAGCTCATGTAGAATTGCCAAAATGATACAATTCTTATTTTATAATTGATACATGCTTAAGTATTTCATTCTTACCAATATTTAACTTAGCTTCACAGCATCATACTAACTCACCTTTTTATTTCACTTCTTAAAAATTATTTTAAATGATACAAAATGAGTATAAATATTTGTAGAATACATTATGATAATTTAGTGCATGTGTACCATGTGTAATAACCAAGTTATGATAACTAGCCCTTCCATCTCTTAGGCGTTTGTCATTGTTTTGTGTTGGGAGCCTTGAAACACCTCTCTTCTAGTCTTTTATAAAATGTATAAGTCGTTGTAAACTATAGCTGCCATCCTGTACTGAAGAACCTAACCCTTCTTCCTCCTACCTCACTGAAAGGGAAAGGAGTTCGGGTTCACCTTGGCTTTTCTTTTCCTTCCACATCCTCATCTTTAGCAAAGGAATGAACTAACTAATGACTCAAAAAGGACATGTTCAGGTCCTTGGTTAATGTATTTCTTTAAATGCCAACACTTGCTTTCTTTCATTCAGTGTGTGTGTGTGTGTGTGTGTGTGTGTGTGTGTGTGTGTGTGTGTCCCTGTGGAAATCAGAAGACAGTGTTCCAGAGTCGGGTCTATGAAACAAAGTTCCTGGAAAGAATTGCGCCTTACAGTGAACCTACTGATTAGAACTTCAATGACTGTGGCAAGTTCGGAATGTCCAGAGCCAAATTATCTTGGATCAATCTTTTGCCGGCCCTTTAATAGTCATTTAATGTCCTCCTCTGGATGTGATCTAAAATCTTTGTGACTATTGGATAATTCTTTAGAATGTACTGTTAGGGTCCGTGACTTGATGGGTCCCCTCCAGATAACAAATACACGGGATTGGAGATGTAAAAATCAAGCAGAGTCTTTACTTTCCAGCCGGCTGGGGTCGACCGGTTTCCCAAGACATGCAAGTCTGGTCAGAACGATCGACCCCCATTCAGTGTCAGATACAGATTATATAGGCCCACATAGTCATTACACAAAAAGCATTCCTCAGCAGACACTTTGATCAAACATCTTCTAAAAGCTATAGTTTCGGTTAAACATCTTTTCCAGGAAGGCTAGATCTGGTGTAAGCCTGGTGCAACTTCCTTCTCTTTGTTCCTTATCGGTTATCTGGTATGTGCAAACAGGCCTACAGGACACATTGCAAATCAACTGAGTCAGGGGTCCAGGGTCCAGGAAGGAGGTTTACAGCACTTCAATTCTTAGCATTTCAACTAGGTTAATCATCCATGTGTGGTAGATACAAATCAGGCAGAACAGGCAAGCTTAGCAAGTAAATCTAAATCAACATTTTAAACAGAGTTTTCTATCAAAATACAGAGTTCTTACAGCATTCATCAAGGTATTTCATTTTTTTTCCCAACAGTACAAGCAGAGCACTAGCTTCCACCAACCAAAAGTGTAAGATTTCGATCAGATAGCATCTGAGACTGTTCCTGAGATGTCTCTGCTTTTCTGGTACCTACCTATCTAATGTTTCCACCAACATATTTTTAAAATATCTTGTGATTTATTTATACTTTAGGTGTTTTATTTATATTTTATGAGTGTTTGACTTGCATGTATATAAGTGCACCATGTGCATATAATGCCCGCAAGGGTCAAAAGAGGGCATTGGATCTGCTGGAACTGGAGTTGTAGACAATTGTTAGCTGCCTTATGGGTGCTGGGAACAGAACCTGGGTCCTCTGCAAGAGCAGCTATTAGTCTTAACTGCTGAGCATCTCTCCAGCCCCTTGATTTGTGACTTTCTTTGTTCTGCTACTATAAAAGCTTCATAAAACTGTTACCACACTGGAACATGAAATTTGGATAACCTAAATCTGTCGTCCTAGGCTATGGTCACTCATGTTTAGCTCCAGAATCATCTCTTATGCCCTTTGAGGAGGAAGTTGTGCTTTTGTGTTGACAGTTCTTGCCTGTTACCTTGTTAGGCAGGACTCTCTACTCAGGCAAGCTGGCCTGGAAACTTCTGGCCCATTGTCCTGTCTCTGTCACCCATCATAGGAGTGTTGGGATTACAAATACTAGCCACCCATATCCGGCTTTTTATGTGGATTCTGGGGGTGGAACTGAAATCATTAAGCTTTCTTAGCAAGGACTTTTACCAGCTGAGTCATCTCCCTGGCTCTGCCATCACTTGATCTGTTTGTCCTAGTTCAAGAAGAAAGCCTGATCTCTGGAAGACACCAGTGACCCCTCTGCCAATGCAGTCACACTCACACTGCACAAGTCCATTAAAAGTCTGTGCTCATGATAGGGCATCAGGAAAGCCCATGAAAATGAGACATTAAAGCAGGCAGACTTGGTATAATCTCCTCTTCTCCTATGCATGCTGCACATGGACATGCATGCTTCCTGTCCCACTGGAGTCCATTGAACTTCACTTACAAGATGAAAGTTCAGATTCACAGGCAACATGCAGAGAGACCAAGCAGAGCTGCTGAGCTGCCACTCGGTCCTGTGTGTCCATGCCATGGGTGAGTCACCCTACCCCAGTTCGCCTTTGCTCTGGTGGGAGTACAGGTAGAAATACCAGCGCACCTTCCCAAAGCAACCAGATATGTTACACCAATGTGCTTGAAAATTGGAAGAAATTTGATTCATCCTGAGACAGAAACAAGCCATTTTAGTTTGTGCTAGGCAAGCAGGAAGTGATCTGAGGCTAGGAAGAAGGGATAGCCCAGATGAATGTTAGAGAGACAAGCTGACAATCTCCCCCAGGCTATGCCCACAGAACCACTGGGTACCCAGGCATCATCTCTTCTCCACCCATAACACTCTCATCTTTGATGTGGAGCTTCTAAAACTAGAAGGACATCTTAGCTCCCTGTACATAGATCTGCCATGGAGGGATCTGGTGCCTCCAGACACACTGTATGCAAAACTCTTCCTGATATCTACTCCATTCGTATAGACATCTACCTGGTCAAATGTGTTCTGTCACTCAGCTTTGCCTTAGCCACTTCTATGCCCTTTTTCCTTGTATATATAGAGACTGTACTGAACAGCTTCAGCTGTCAACTTGACACAACTGAAAAGCGGACACCTCAGTTGGGGGATTGTTTCTATTGTATTGGCTTGTTGGCATGTCTGTGAGGCATTTTCTTGATTGCTGAGTGATAAGGAAGGGCCCACCCCTCGGTGGGTGGTGCCACTGTGGGCAGATGGTCCTGGGTTGTATAGGAAAACAGGCTAAGCACAGCCCAGAGGAGCAAGCCAGTAAGCTGTGTTCCTCCATGGTCTGTGCTTCAGTAGCTGCCTCCAGGTTCCTGTCCAGCTTAAGTTCCTGCCTTGGCTTCCTTCAGTGATGGACGGTCACTTGGAAGAATAATATTCGTCCCTAACTTGCTTTTGGTCAGTGTTTTATCACAGCAATGGAAACCAAACCAGAACATTAACCTAAACTATATGCCCTAAACCTTGTTGCTCATTTTGTTTGGGGGTAAACCTTCAGTTTCAGTCTTTTGATTTAGGCTTCCAGTTACATATACTGTTAAGAATTGGGGCTGGAGAAATGACTCGGTAGTTAAGAGCACTGGCGGCTCTTGCAGAGGACCTGAGTCCAGTTCTCAGCACCCACATGGCAGCTAACCACCATCAGTAACTCCAGTTCTAGGAGATACAGTGCCTTCTGGCATCCACAGGCATTACAGGCATGCATATGGTGCACTTACATACATACAGGTGAACACCCATTCACATTAAAAACAAAATAATTAACAGCACAAAGGACAGGTTAACTTTAGAATAGGTGTGGGTGTTGGGAGTAGGGTCTGTAAAAATTTTTATTTTATTTTACTTTGGATTTTATTTAAACTCTGGGGAGGGAGGGAGGGATTGAGGGAGTGAGAGGGGAAGGGAGGGAGAAAGGGAGAGAAACTGTCTGCTCTAGGCCCTCACACCTACCCCTGCAACCCACTTTCACTTCTAAGCTGGTATCTGTCATCCAGTCAGCCTTCTTCACAACCTGACACACAGAATAAAAATAAGTGAATTTAAAAAATAAATAAATAAATAAATAAATAAATAAAAAGAAGGAGACGGACGTGGTCACACCTTTAATCCCAGCACTTGGGAGGCAGAGGCAGGTGGACCTCTGTGAGTTCAAGGTCAGCCTGGTCTATATACTGAGTTCCCAGACAGCTGGGGCTACAGGGAGACCCTGTCTCAAAAAGACCAAAAAAAAAAAATGAAGGGAGCTTGCTCAGCTTGATAAAAAATAACTGCAAAAACAAATCTCATAGTAACAGCTAGCACACTTAAAGAGTGGAGTGCTTTTCACCCTATGGTTTTCCTAGTGGACTTTCAGGACTTTTGTAGTCTTATAACCATCCAAGCTCCACTTCTTACGTTTCAGGAATGTTAATCAAGCGTTTGAAGTGGAGGTGCCACTTGTAGCTCTTCCACCCAATGCATGC